GTAAAAAAGGGCCAGAACCTCCTTGAAATCTGAGGAATTCCTCACAAAGATGGGAACTGAGCCAACATGAACCACCCCAAATGGATTCCTGCTCAGGAAAGGCCACTGGGCAGGGGTGGCCTGGAGAAATCCAACTGAGGGGTGACAGCTCTGCGTGTCGGAAGGGTTTTTTTGGGGTGGTGTCGCCCAGAATCCAAATTCCACCCAGGAAACCAGCGGGGCCTTACAATAAAAACACAAAAATAAAGATATGGGATAGATCCGCGGGCAGCTTGGTGATATCCCCCATCCCCTGTGTGTCCCCTGCTGTCCCCCATGCCAATGGGGTCTCAATGGGGTCACCAACGGGGTCGTCAATGGGGTCGCCAATGGGGTCGCCAGTGGGATCACCAATGAGGTTGCCAATGGGGTCGCCAATGGGGTTGCCAACAGGGTCAACAATGGGGTCGCCAACGTGGTCGCCAATGGGATCGCCAATGAGGTTGCCAATGGGGTCGCCAATGGGGTCGCCAACGGGGTCAACAATGGGGTCGCCAATGGGGTCGCCAATGGGGTCGCCAATGGGGTCGCCAGTGGGAGCGCCAATGGGGTCACAAGTGGGGTCACCAATGGGGTCTCAATGGGGTCGCCAGTGGGGTCGCCAGTGCGGTCGCCAGTGGGGTCGCCAATGGGATCGCCAATGGGATCGCCAATGGGATCGCCAATGAGGTCGCCAATGGGGTCGCCAACGGGGTCGACAATGGGGTCGCCAAAGGGGTCGCCAATGACGTTGTCAATGGGGTCACCAATGGGGTCGCCAGTGGGGTCGCCAGTGGGGTCGCCAGTGGGGTCACCAGTGGGGTTGTCAATGGGGTTGTCAATGGGGTCTCACTGGGGTTTGCCTGGGGGGTCCGGGCCGGCTCTCGTTCCGAGGGGTGGCTGTTCCTGGTGATCACAACGGGCTCCTCCACCACATTGATGCTGTTGCACTGCATCAGCTCCTGCAGGAGGTTGAAGATCTCCTCTGCTCGGGAGCACTTGAAGGCAAAAATCCCTGCCAGGGACAGAGAGGAGGGGTTAAAAGGCAAGGAAGAGATTCTGCTTTAAAAATTGGGGTTTTTGCTGGTTCTGAAGGAATTCTGGGTTTTCCTCCTGAGTTTAACAGGATTGACACCCACAGGTGTGGGAAAARCCCAGGAATATTTGTTGCTAACAGGGAAAAATCCAGGAATGTTTCTCACTACAATGGAAAATCCTAGGAATATTTCCTGCTAAAAGGGAAAAATCCAGAACATTTCTCACTACAAGGGAAAATCAAGGAATACTTCTCATTAAAAAGGGATAAAATCCTCGAGTATTTCCCACCACAAAGGAAAATCCAGGAATATTTCCCACTACAAGGGAAAAAATCCAGGAATATTTCTCACTAAAAAGGGAAAAAACCTAGGAACATTTCCTGCTAGAAAGGGGAAAAAAACAGGAATATTTCTCACTAAAAAGGGAAAAAATCCAGGAATATTTTTCACTAAAAGGAAAAATGCAGGAATATTTCTCACTAAAAAGGGAAAAACACAGCCCAACAAGCCTCAGGATTATTCATGAAATAACCCCAGAAATTACAGAATATGGAAAGGTTTGGGTTGGAAGAGACCTTAAAATCACCCAGTTCCATTGCCAACCTTCCCAGGTCACTCAGAGTCCATCCAGCCCAGCTTTAACCCCTTCAAGGCTGTGGTGTTACCTCAAAACCAGCACCCAGCTGTGGAGGGCCAGGTGACTTCTACCTGAACCCCCAGCACCCAAATCCTTCATTTCCAGGGAAAATCCTCAGTGATTTCCCAGTGACAATCCTCCAGTGATTCCTCAAAGCTGAGCTGGACCCTCTGGATATGAAGGAGGGACAGAAATGTCATATTTTTTTAAAAAAACCCTGGGATTGAAGAGTTTCCACCCAAAGGAGCAGCCCAGGGAGGAGCCAATCCCGGGGCTGGCACACACCAAAGCCATGGCAACAGTAACAGCCTGGCAACCAGGGCTGCTCCCAGAGAGCCACATTCTGGCAAAAAAAATAAATAAAAATAGCTGGATCTGCCTCGTATCGAGTGGAGAAAGGAGGCCCTTGAGTAAAATTAATAAAATCCTACAAGGAAAAGGAGAAAACTCAATAAAATCTATTATTTCTCTGATTTCTGCCCAGTAAAACTGCTGCTAGATGTGAAGAGCTCTGCTTCATCCCCTCTGCCTGTGATGCCTGAGGAGTTTTGCCTTTCTTTTTAAATGTTTTATATATATATATATATTTTATATATATTTATGTTTATATATTTTATATATATTTAAATATGTTTTATACATATTTATATATTATGTATATTTATATACTATATATTATATAT